TTAAATAGCGCTTTGAAAGCAAGCGGATTCAACTTAAGGTAAGGGTTAGGTTTAGGGTTAGGTTAAGGTTTAGGTTTAGGGGTTAATTTTAGGTTTAGGGTTTACAGCGTGCTTCTGTCTCCGTGCTGTTGTCGCCCTGTTGATGACGTCAGCGACGCGGTTTAGTCGGGCGCGGTTTAGTCGAGCGCGGTTTTGTGGTGGAACCCACATACACACTTCTGTCCTTGTTTCCCCCATCATTCCCCCAGCCCCTCCCCCTCTGTTTCCTTCTCCCTCCCCCCCAACCTCCCCGCCTCCCCCACACCGTCACTCTTTTCCTCCTTGTCTCCCCGCAGGTTTTCACCAACACGCCTTCGGCCTCTTCATTGTGTCGGCCCTCGGACACATGTTCCTGACCTGCCTCCTCTGGCGGCTAACCAAGAAGTATGCCATCAGTCCGGAGGTAAGAATGCCCCCTAGATCCTCCCCCTTCCCTCCCCCCAGCTGCCTTCTCCTTTGGACTCCCAGCTGCACCCAGGTTCCCAAGCAGCTGTCACTCCCCCCCTTGGTCCTTTCCCCTGGTTTGTCTCTCTCACTGTCCTAAAGACGGTTCTAAAAGAGGTGTTTTTGCAAAGAGTCCCCCTTAAGCATGGGGATTCTGCTCCCAGGCAAACCACCCTGGAGCCCATCCGGCCCCTCCCAGAACTCTTCTCACAGTTCAGTTTCAACCCCACCCCTCCCCAGGCCTTGGCCCTCCCTTCCAGCCTCCCTCCAGGGTTCATGGCAGGCCGGGCCCTGAGGCGGCACTCCTGGCCTTCGTTGGGCTTTAAGGCTTTGCCTGACCTCTGCTGACCCTGCGCCAGATAGGAGCCGCCTGGCCAGCAGGTCCTTGGCCTTCCTTTTGTTGGGAGGGGCTGTTATGGCTGTCGCTCGGTGCCTCCCCAGCTGTAGGCGACTGCAGCTCCCAGCCTGGCGAAGCAGGTTTGATACAGAATCCTCCTGGGAAGCTGCTGGAGGGGGAAGGCATCCGAGGTCAGCGTCCTTGGCAGGCTGTCCCAGGCTGGGAGTTTCGCAAAGGGCCTCCCACTGCCCGTAGTTCACCCCACGTGGAGAGGGAGGGTGCAGCCTTGATCCTTGGAAGAAACCTCTGGCGCTCTGTAGAAAGTGGAGGTGCACAGGGACTGAGGCCTCCGGGAAGCCAGGGCCAAAGGAAAGGGGGCGAGCTGTGTCCGAGGCTCCCTTCCGGAAGGCAGAGGGTGTCTCTTTGGACACACCATTGTTTTAGTCGCCTCGGGTGGAAGATCTCCAATGAACTTTGACCCCATGCTGCCTAGTATGATAGAATATTTGTAGCTCAGGGTCGAACTGTGTTGCTCTCTGAGCTTGGTGGCTTCCTTGCTGGCCTTTCAGTACCCAACTAGGGAACGTCATCAGCGCTAGAAGGGTGGGAGGCTTGTGGAAAGGAGGAGGGGGGGGGCTTGGTACTCTCTGGGGTTGTTTTGTTGCAGGCGTTTCGCAGCCCAGCTAGGGAACCTGATCAGTGCTAGCAGGGAGTGGGGTTTGCTGGTGGGGAGGACGATGACAACAGCCATGAGGTTCTTGGTCTTCCCTGAGCCTGGTGGTTTCCTTGCAGGCATTTATTTCATTACCAGTCCTCTGGCTAGCACTGATGGCGCCACCTAACATGGCAAAGAAACGTCTGTGAGAAAAGCACCCAGTTCAGAGAGCCCCAAGGGCCCCCCTGCTTCGCTTTATCCTGGCCGTGTTGTTTGGACTGGTGCCTGCCGAAGCCCCTGAGTCCCCCCCCCCCACACACACACGGTCTCCTCCCTGTGCTTGGGGGCCGCCCTGGGAGGCGCCCCTGGAACTGAATCCTGGCTTTTGGGGGCTGATCCGGAGACTCTGACGGCTGCAGGAGGGAAAGGATGGTCCTTGGCCACCAGGGGGCAGTCTTCCTGGCTTGCCTTGGTTGCTTCCTGCTCTAGCGGCTCCTGTTTGTACTGGGTGGGGCTCAATTGGGGGAAGAGGGGAGGGTGCGTTGGGGTCCCAGAAGGTTTAGGGCAGAGGTCTCCAACCTTGGGCCACTTTAAGACTTGTGGACTTCAACTCCCAGAATCCCCTAGACAGCAAGGAGGTTTCTTTTAGTCTCATACACACACATTTGCAAGTATACAGTTATTATTATTATTATCACCTTTTAAGACTTCTAAACATTCATTTTTCCATATAAAAAATAAAAAATATGATTGGGATTGCTTTGCTTACCATCCCATACACCTATTTTGTTTTACCTCCACCCTCCTTTCCCTTTCTTCCCTTTCCTCTCCCCTATTCCTCTCTACCTCTTCCCCTTCCTACCCTCTCTCCTCCTCCTCTTCCTATTCCTCCCCATCTCCCTCTCCTCTTTCCCTCTCCTTCCCTCTCTTCTGGAAGAAAGTTGGGCGGCCCTGGTGCCCAACACAAGGGCTCCCCCCCCCCTGGACCCCCAGCCAGCCCAGCCTCTCTGCAGGAGGCCCAAGACCCCCACCCATCCCCTCCCAATAAGTCTGGCTCTGGAACAGGAGGCTGCTCCACCTGACAGAAATATCCAACTAGTTACTGCTGCCAGCTCTTCGAGGTAGGCCAGGAAACACGGCTGATGGAAAGCCTCTGAGCAACAAAAGGTTGGCTCGGTTCCCCTCGGAGTAAGGGAGGCGTCCGGTGACTCTATTGTTATCCCTCTCTCCCTTTAAGGCAGAACCATCGCTCAACCATTTGCTCAGGATGGCATAAGGGCCTTGGGCAGGGGGTTGGACTAGAGGACCTCCAAAGGTCCCTTCTGGCCCTAGCACTCTATGAAGTGAGGATCTCCTTCTGCCTGCAACTGGCCTCAAGGCCGTCTCTCATCCCTCTACAATCGCAAAGAGAGTGCCACCCTTTGGCCCCCCAGGGTTACCCTTTGGCCTTGATCGTGATGCGGCTGACTCTGGAGTTATGGCTGTTGTGCAAAGGATGTGGGAAGCCAAGGGGGGAGCTGTGATGTGAGCCCAGGGAGAGGACAGAACAACAGAGCTGGAAGGGACCTCGGAGGTCTTCTAGTCCAACCCCCTTGCTCAAGCAGGAGACTCTATACCAGTGTTTCTCAACCTTGGCCACTTGAAGATGGGGAAGTGTCTAGGACAGTGTTTCTCAACCTTGGCCACTTGAAGATGTCCGGACTTCAACTCCCAGAATTCCCCAGCCAGCGAATGCTGGCTGGGGAATTCTGGGAGTTGAAGTCCGGACATCTTCAAGTGGCCAAGGTTGAGAAACACTGCCCTAGAGCGTTTCAGATAGGGGGCTGCCCAGTCTTTCCTCAAGGACCTCCAGTGATGGAGGATGGAGCAGCCACAACTTCTGGAGGCAACTTCTACGGGTTAAATTGTCCTCCCTGTCAGGAAGTTTCTCCTGAATCCCAGGTGGATCAGATTCCCTCCGTTGCTTCTCTTCCTGCCTTCTGGGGCTTTGGGGAACAAGGCCCAATCCCCTCTTTCTTTGGGGCAGCCCCTCAGATACCGGAAGGAAGGTCTGTGTGTGTCTGTGTGTGTGTGGAGTCCTCCTCTCCAGTAGACCAGCCCTAGTGAGGGAGGGGGAGGTTGTGAGTGGGGAGGGGAGGCGCCCTCTGCCCCCATTGAGGAGGATTTGCACACAGCCAGCAGCACAAGCGCAGCCACTTCCTGTGTGAACTTTCACATCGCAGCTTGTTGTCCTCAGTTGAGCCTGAGCTGCACCCAGCCTCCCCCCTTCCCAAAGCCCGGGGCCTGATCCTGTGGGCCCGTGCCCCGCCCAAGAAGCCCCAGGGAGACCGGGGGTGGGGGGGTGGGGGGTTCCTTTGGAAATTCAGCCCCAGTCCACATCAAGCAGTGCTCGACTTACAGCAGTCTGAAGTTGCAACGGAACTGCAAAAAGGGGGTTTTTCACTTACGACTGTTCCGTCATCCCCATGGTCACCTAATCAAAGTGCTCGTCAACCGGCTCGTGTTTATTACGATCGCCGTCTCCCGGGGTCACGCGATCCCCTTTTGCGACCTTCTGACTAGCAAAAGTCCCAGAATCACTTAACGACCATGTTACTGACTTAAGAGCTGAAGTGATTCACTTAATAACGGGGGCAGGAAAGGCTGTAAAACCGGGCGGAACTCAACAAATCCCTTACTTAGCGACGTAGGTTTTGGGCTCAATTGTCATAAATTGAGGACTGCGGGTAGCAGATACAGCTAGTAACCAGGATTTCCCAGGCGGCTCTTTTTGCACGTGTGAATCTGTCTCAGTTTGCAGGCGGGAGTCTGGCCAGCCCTCCCCTCCCCTTTCACCCCCTTCTCCCTCCGCTGCTGCAGCTGAGACCCCCTGCCTGCCCCTGAATAGGAGCCCCCTGAGTCGGAAGAGGTGCCGGCAGAGGCCTTCCCTCTGTGCTCTCACACTTTTGCCCGGCTTCTGTCTTTGCTCTTCTCTCCCAAGTGGGTGTTTCGCTTGAGGGAATTCCCAAAGGGGAAAAGACTGGCGTCCGAGGGAGACGGGGGTGTGTGTGTGTTGCAGCACCAGCTCTTGGGGGCTCAGAGATTGCTAAAGAGAAACGACGTGTGGGGGACTTTCTCAGCCCCATCCACAGAGCAGTTCCTTCTGCAAACTTTCTCAAACTGAAACCACCGCAGGGGCTATTAGTGGCCCATTCGTGTGATGCTGCCGGTAGCTGCTTCTCAGGGCCACCGGTGGTGCCTCCCCCAACACCCCCAGCACCACCACCGTCTGCTCTAAATAAGCCCTTTGCAAAACCACCCTGGTTGTGCTTGTCTGCCTCAAGAGAGCCGAGGCAGGCAGGGGATCGGAGGGTGAGGTCTGCTTCTGCAGCCGCAGCCCTCCGGGATTGGCTCCGGCTGCAGCAGGGCCTGGGCTGCGCTCGGCCGCAAAGGGGGTTTGGGGAAGGATGTTCTCCAGAGGCCCCAGAAGAGGAGGAGAGCCACAGAGAGGATGCGGCCAGGGGGGGCTGAGGCGTAGGAAGGACACTTGCAGGAACCGGGAAGGTCTCCTTTGAGGAAAAGAAGGACGAGGGTGGGGATGATGGGCCCCAAGTGCCCAAAGCGGATTGGGGCGTGCATGAGCAATGCCCCGCAGCACCAGAGGCCCAAGGAGCAGCTGGCCGGTGCACACGCCGGCTGAGCTTCTGGTTTCCAAAGCGGCCATAAACAGCCAAAAGACAGGCATGTGCACGCCGGCCGGCTGGTCCTCGGGTTTCCAGCCTGTGCCTGTACGCCGGCCGGCTGGTCTTAGTGTGCGCGAGAGCCCCGGAAACCCGGAGAGCAGCTGGCTGGCTGTGCATGCCCGTCTTTTGGCTGTTTGTGGCCGCTTTGGGGGCTGAAAAGCAGAAGAGCAGCGGCCGATGGCACCCGTGCCCACAGGGAGGGATCTTGTGCCACCTCTGGCGCATAGGTTCACCATTACGGGAGATATGGGGGTGGAGCGATGGCACCTTCCAGTATCTGAGGGGCTGCCAAAGAGGGGAGGGGGTCGTCCTGTTCTCCAAAGCCCCTGAAGGCAGGGCGAGGAGCAACGGGTGGACGGTAACCGAGGAGGGAAGCAACCTGGCAGGGAGGACGATTACGCAGGGGAACAGAAGTCGCCCCCGGGAGTTACAGGTCCTGCATCCCGGGGGGCTTTGGGGAAAAGGCAGGGCAGCTGTTTCACGGGGACTCTTGGGGGGGGGTGTCTCCGGCCGAGGCCCCTTCCAGCCCTGGGGGTGGAGGCTTGGGCCCAGCCGCTGAGGTTGCAGGCCTGGGGGAGGCCCAGACCCTTCTAGCCCTGCATTGAGGGCTCCGGCCAGAGGCCCCAGCAAAGCTGACCAGCAGCTGGACAAAAGCTCTCCTTCTGGAAGAGCCTCTTTCTCCCCTCTGCCACTCGGCAGTTTTCCACCCAGGGGCCCGGGAAGCCACGGGGTGGGGAGGGGGCTGAGTTTCTGGAAACTGCCTGGAATGAGCAGGAGGGCAGGGTCAGTCCGGAGGAGGAGAAGGAGGAGGAGCTCCCAGTCCTCATTCTCTGGGCCGGCCTCCCCCTGAAGCCTCCCACGGAGCCTGCAGAGAAGCAGGGGGTCTCCGTTCAGGGACCGCTCAGAGTTACAACGTCACTAAATGAAAGTGACTGATGGACCACGTTTCACACTAACGGCCGTTGTAGCATCCCCGCAGTCACGTTGTCCGAATCCAGGGGCTCAGCATACTAGCGATGGTCACGTGATCCCCTTCTGGTGACCTTCTGGCAAGCAAAGTCTGTGGGAGGCCAGATTCACTTAACAGCTGGGCTACTCACTTATTGACTGCAGTGATTCGCTTAACACCTAAGCAGTGGGAGGGGGGTTGCTAATTTTTTTACTACCAATTTGGCCATCCTCCCCCCCCCCCTCCCGCGCATGACGCTTGTGCACATGTGCGGCAGTGTCTGGCCGGGTGGGCGGAACCACCGATCCAGGTCGAACCAGGAGCAAGAAAGGGAAGAAAGGGGGCAAAAGGGTCAAAGCTCACTTAACAAACGTCTCGCTTAACAGCAGAGAGGTTGGGCTCAGCTGGGCTCGTCAGTCCAAGGTGGCTTTTTGTAGGAATGAGGGAGTTCAGCTCTGACAGTTTCAGCCTTGCCAGATGTGGAGGAAGTCCAGGGGTTCCAATCGCAACCGAGGTAGCCAAACACCCCCCCTGCGCCCCCCCCCGACCCTATGCTTTCCTTTCTGCTTGCAAAGGAGGAAAGGGAGACCCCCATGCGCACCCTGTGGGTGTCCCAGGGTGGGCTGGCAACCGAGGGGGGGGTGCAGAGGAGGGGGCTCCCTTGGCCTGGGGTAGAAGCAGAGGGGGCTGAAGGGGGGGTGGGGGTGTCCAGGGGAAGTCACCCCGCTCTCTCTCCGCAGGAGCGCAAGTCCTACAAGTGGAAGTGGTGGCTCTTCCTCTTCAACCTGCTGACCTTCCTGATGGCCGTCTGCTGCTACTTCCGCCACAACCTCTACTGTGAGGCTGGAGGTGAGGCAGCCCCCCTCCCCCCCTTCTCCAGACCCCCGCTCTGCCCTCTGCTTCCCCTTCCCGCGGCTGGAGCCTTCAGAGGGGGTGGGGGGGGTCCTGGAGCTAAGCCCCCTGGGAGTCAGGCCAGGCACAGGAAGGCAGAGGAAAGGAATTCCGCTCCAAAGGCCTTCGGAGACATGGAAACAGCCCAACAGGCCCTTCGATATCAGCCTGTTAAATCGGGAGGGAGGCCGTTTTGGAGGCATGAATCTTTTTACGGAGTGAGGTTTATTAAAGCCAGGAGACCTTTTGGGGGCCCAGAGACCCTCCTTGGGGGCCCACACCTTTTATGGGGTGCAAAGCAAGCTTTCCGTGGCCAATGATGCAAAACCAACGGGGGCTTTGGGTCCGGGGAGCTCAGAAGCTTTAGGCCCCCGAAAGCCCCGCAGGGAGGCTTTCTGCGCATGGCCAGGAACTCTCTTGGCTGCCAGAAGGGAGGAGGGGGTGCGGATGTTGAACGCAAACGGAGTTCCCGACGTGGACCAGGACGTCCCGGGCAGGGTGGGTTTTGCTTCCTATCGGGGCTCTCCGAACTTGGCAGGATCCCCCAGCCAGGGCCAGGCTAGAAGACCTCCGAGGCCCCTTCCCGCCTTGAGACGCCCCGTCCTGCCTCTGCTTCCTCTTGCAGTGTACACGATGTTCGCCTTCCTGGAGTACCTGGTGGTGCTGTCCAACATGGCCTTCCACATGACCGCCTGGTGGGACTTTGGCAACAAAGAGCTGGTGGTCAGCTCCCAGCTAGAGGACAAGCGCTTCTAGCCGGGACTGGCCGGCCAGCTGGTGGAGGAACCTCTCCATGGGGGGGAGGGGAGGGGGCCAATGCCGCTGCTTTGGGAAGGGGGAGAAGGAGCCCCCTAGGAAATGACTCTCCCAGCCCCCCCCCACCTGCTGCTCTCCAAAGGACGTTGGGAGCCACTGCCTACTGGGGAGGGGGCATTTATCCTCCAGGGTGGAGGGGGCAGGCCCCCCTCCCATTCCATGGGAAAGGCTCCCTCCTGGGGGAGTGGCGCCTGGCCCCCTTCGGCCCTCAGTTTCCCCCATGGGGGTTTTTGCTGTCCCTAAGGAAGGTGACAGCAGGGCTGGGTCCTGGGGGTGAAGCCGATGGGCAGGAGGGGCCGAGGTCCTTGAGGCTCTCCCCTCCCCTCGGGTTTTAGCTTTTGTGTTGATATCCCCAGGCGGGAGGGGGGAGGGGAGGGGGGGGCTGCTGTGATGTGACGGTGCTAACCTCCCTGCTTCGGCTCCCTTCCCTTCGGGAGGGAGACGGGGGGGGGGGGCTGGGGAAAGGGTCGAAGGGCGTCTTGTGTGGCTCCTCCCGTCAAAGGTGCAGATGTGGAGGAGAACCAGGCTGCTGTGCGGTGGCTGCTGTGTGGCCGGAACGGGCTTGCACCAATGACCAAAGGAGGGGCTCTGCTGAACGGTTGGGCCCGGGGGAGGCCGGACAAGGCCCGGGGCTTCCTCTGGAGCCGGGATGGGGGTGGGATGGGGGGAGAGAGAGAGAGAGAGATGGATTCGCTCCCCTCCGACTTCCTTCCCCCCCATCCCCCCCCAGGAGAAGGGAGGCTGAGCGGAGGGGAGGCTCCTCCGCTGGCCCCAACCCCAAATGCATCCTCTGAAGGTCAAGGCCTTCGGACAGGGCCCCCCGGCCCCCCCCCCAAAGCGGTTCCATCCCCTCTTCCTCCCATCTCTCTGCAGAAACATTTGCCTCCACAGATCATGTATTTTCATCTACTTTTTACTCTTCCCCACAAAATAAAAAAGTATTTTTTTAAAAGGAGGGCTCTCTGGGTGGTCTTAGGGGAGGGCAGGGGGGGGGGTTGACCTTTTTGGCTCCAATCTTACACCGTCAGTTCGTTCCCTCCTCCCTCTCTCGCTCTGCAGCCACTCAGGGCTTTTTACACCCAGGGAAGCATCTGGGGAAATGGAGGGGGGGTGAATTGTTCTCCCCCCCCCCAATTGGAGGAAACCTGGCTAGGGAATTCTGGGACTTGAGGTCCATCTCTCTTCAAAGTTGCCCAGGCTGAGAAACCCTGGAGGAAAGGGTCCTTCTGGCCCCATGCAACTCTATCATTTGTGGCAGGCTGGGGAATTCTGGGAGTTGAAGTCAAAAGAGGCGCAGGATGGAAGAGATCCTGCATCCAGCTCTGGGCCTCCAATGCCTCCCAAAAGGGGCCGGAGAGGAATCGGAGTTAATTCGGGGGGGGGGGGGCTGGAGACCCAACTCCCATGTGGCACAGCCACAGCCATGTGTCCTGCCTGCGCAAGGGACCCCCAAGGAGGGAGAGGAGCCCCTCTTCAGAGGCCTCCAGAAGGCCTGGCCTGGTGGGGGGGAACAAATTACAGGGAGCCCTTGACTTACAACAGTTCACTTAGTGACCGTTTGAAGTTACAACGGCACTTGGAGAAAGTGACTTATGACCAGTTCAACATCCCCGTGGTCCCATGATCAAAATTCATTAGCAGTTGGTTCATATTTACGACGGTCGTAGTGTCCCAGGGTCACGTGATCCCCTTGTGTGACCTCCTCACAAGCAAAGTCAAGGGGGAAGCCGGATTCACTTAAGGACCATGTCGCTAACTTAGCCACTGCAGCGATTCACTTAACAACTGTGGCAAGAAGGGTCGTAAAACGGGCAAGGCTCCCTTAACGACGTACATTTTGGCCGCAGTTGTGGGTCGTAAGCCAAAAACTACCTGTGATGCTCAAAGGCCAGGCGAGGCATTGCGAGGCGTTTCATGAGGGCAAGAACTGTTGGCCCGTGGAACACAGTGCCACATGATGGGCGGGGGGGGATGCTCTAGGCCAGTGTTTCTCAACTGTGGCGACTTAAAAGTCCTGTGGACTTCAACTCCCAGAATCCCCCAGCCAGCTATGCTGGCTGGGGGATTCTGGGAGTTGAAGTCCACAGGAATTTTAAGTCGCCACGGTTGAGAAACACTGCTCTAGGCGGAGCCAGCCTGGAAGTGGGTGTGGCCAGAGGTTGCCATTCAGCCCCCAGAGATGCAGCCTTTCCAGCCTCCTTGGGATCCGGTGATCCCTGCGGTGGGGGGGGGGGGAACCTTTTCAAAGGAGCCCCTTCTCTGCAGAGACCACCGGCTTCAAACCTGACAACTTCAAGGCTGGTGGGCTTCCACTCCCAGCTTGGCTGGCTGAGGAACTCTGGGAGTGGAAGCCCACCAGTCTTAAAAGTTGCCAGGTTTGGAGAGCCCTGGAATCATAGGCTGTCAAGGGGGGGGGGGGATCTTGACGTCTGCTTCCCCCCCCCCGGGGCCTGTTTTGAGGAGGAGGCCTCGGGGGTCCCGAGTTCAAAATCCACCTTCCAGTAGATGAAAGCAACCAGATGATACCATTGAGTGGAGGTTCCACCTTGTTTTGGACCTTGGAGAAGTGTTACGGGGGCTGCCCCTCCATCTCCCCCTCCCCAGACTGAAATCCTTTGGGGCAGGCGCCCCATTCCCCATCCTGCACCAGCCGGCCTGCCACAAGATGCCCAGCCCAAACGCAATCGAGCCATGAAACGCCAGCTGTCTTTTCTGGGACATTTAGAAAAGGCAGGGAGACTCTGGATCCTTCCTCAAAGCACCGGAGCCTTGATGGAACCTCCATGGGCAGGAGCAGTGAAGCGGAATGAGTTGCTTTGAGTGACTGGCCCCCCTCTGTCCTTGCAGCTGGCCAATGGAAAGGGACCCCTCGTGGTGGGGGGCGGAGGACAACTGGCTCCAGTATCATTGATGCTATTGCAAAGAATAGCGGGGTGGGGGGGGCAAGGTCCAGAGTTACCTTTCCTTGAGTTCTCCCGAGTTCTCCTGGGCCCCTGGATAACGCAGACCCCGCCTCGACCCTGGAAGGAGCCTCAAAGACACAGGGGGGGCAGTTGCCATCTTTATTGAGGGGGGGGGTTGACAAAAAGACCCTGGTGCAGGGAATGTAGGAGGAGCCCCCCCTCCCCCTGAGTCTCCCAGGCCAAAGGCTGGAGAGGCCGCTGCTCTTGGGCGTTGTCAGCTGGACAGGAACAGGAGGAAGCGCCGGTTGGGCAGGGGGGGCATGTGGGCAGCGAGACCCCCATATTTCCTTCCGGGAGGGATGGTTCACCACGAAGGGCTGAGAGCCGTAACGTCTGATAGTCTACCTGAGCAGGGAGAATCCTGACTTCCAAGCCGTTCCGGCAAGTTTCTAGTCCCTACAACAGTGGAACCTGGCCGGCCAATGACTGGGCCTCGCCAAGGGTGTCCGGGAAGTCCGATAGAGGCTGGGTTTGAACTGAGGTGGGTGGGAAGCAGCTGGACTTGGGGTCTTTCCTCTTTCAAGGCAAAGCGTGTGCAGAACCGGGCTCTCTTGGGTGGCCATGCGCAGGGATTCTCCGTTGACGTGCGCAGGGGATGCCCCGTGACCTCTGGCAGTGGAAGGAGGCGGAGGAGGAAAGGCCTGGGCCGCAGAGTGGGAAGCCCGTGGAGGGACTGCGCACAAGGAAGGCGGCGGAAGCACTGAAAGCGGAGCGTTTCCTTTGTAAACAGGATGTGGAGGAGGAGGAGGAGGAGG